TAGGCCGTACTTTATAAAACTTTAACTTATGTTAGACATAAACAAGTTCGATAAAGAGAAAAATTAACATTGTAACCTGTGTACGTTTTTTTTTTTTTACTTTAGTTTAGTTAGAACTAAACTTTACTGTACTTAATACTATCAATAAATAAACTTATAATGTTATTCTACGACCTAACGTCAAAATTGTTTTAAAAACTTTGATAAGTTTTTAATATTCTATAGTACAAAATGGTTAGTAAACTTTATTTACATTCCCCCTTTTGTTGTTGCTTCTTGTTTCATACAGCAATTGTAGTAACTTGATCACTGAGCTTTGCAGCTCTCTGCCGCAGGCAGACTGTTTGTCGTCGAGTGAATAATGCGCATGCGCGGTTTTTATTTGGGAAACATTTTAACTACGCATGCTTATGCAGCAGGTTCTCGGTCAGAAGGCGTAACGGTCGTACATACAAACAAGCAGAATAATAGTATAGATTGTCGCATTTATTTTGTTTGTTTATTGATAAACAAAAAGCTACACAATGGAGTGTCTGTCCAGCGCAGATATCAGTTTGTTTTCTTCTTCATCGGGATTCGGTCCATGTTTTGGACCAGAGAGGATCAGGTTCAGCGTTGACCTTTTCTTCCCTCAGTTTTTAAGAGTTATAACTTTCTCAAAGTTACCACAGTGCGACCGGAAGGGGACTTTTCATTTCCTACCTACTAATTGTAACAACATTTAAACATTTTCACCATTGCATTGGTTTGACTGTGATGTTTTCCTTGCTTTTCTTGCCACGAGGCCCTCCTCATCAGGTAGTAAGTACTTAGTTAGATTTGTTCGATAAAAATCAACGTGACTTTCGTTCTCTTGAAGTGTTTTAAACGCATTCAAACTGGCGGGAAGAAAGTAATAAGTCAAGTTTATTTCAAGTTGTTAATAAGGCTTCAGAAGAAACGTTCTAACAAGACAAAAATATTTGGTGAAGACTGTAAAGTATTATCTAATGGTTCTGTTAAACATTAGTGGGAAATATCATTATGATATGAATTGATAAATGATTCAGGTTTTGAAGTTATATTGAATGAAATATATACCAGGATTACTTTATGTAAAACCTAAACAAAATTAGTTCATTTTAATAAAAAAAAAAAAATACTACATAGAAGAGACGCTAAGAACAAACCTTTAAATTAAGCAAAGATTTCTAAACCGCTTTCTGTGTGTTATTTGTTTCATAATTTTTGCCCGAAGCTAAACAAGAGCTATCTTTGCATTGATCTGTCCCTAATTTTGAATTGAACTCCAGAAAAAGAAGGTAGACAATAGCACCCACTGCCAACTTTTGGACTACTCTTGTCTGATTGAATAGTGGGATTTGACCGTCACTCTTATAGCGCACCCATTGCAACAAAATGCGAATCCTGGGAATAAATTTATGAGAGGGTCAGTAGTTTTTGGAAAGAACTGACTTTTGACCAATAAATGGTCAAACTGAAAAAATATTGTAGTGTTATGAAAGAAACGTACATGTTTGTGGCTATAAACCATCTTTTATTGGATAATCTGTTTCGAGTTTTGGTGTTTTACTTGTCTACTTCGTAGTTTTTGAATATTTTGAGAATGTGTGTTTGTTTTCTTATGCTTTTTTTTTTGGTATGTTTTTGTTTATCATAACAAAGAATTCATTCTTTAAATTGTAGTTTATTTCTTATTAAAACAAGTACTTTAGCTTCATAAATATATTTACAATTCTCTATTTAATGGAAACAAAACTAATTTCCTAAGATATGTAATAAATAAATCACTGCGAACAAGAAAAATATTATCATGGGAGATTTCATCATTTATCATAATTAACATTCGTTTACATTACTTAATTACTTTAAAGCACATCTATTGTCTTTTTGACTCGTCCCTGGTTTGTGTTAACAGATGGGAAGTTGGAAATTGGACAAGATGCACCAAAAGTTGTGGAACAGGATATCAACACAGGAGTGTCCGCTGTGTTCAAGATAAGGAGACAAAAGGGACGAGGGCAGTGGCTAGACGACGTTGTCATGGACTGACCTTTCCGATCAGGAAGCAGAAGTGTAACGAACATAAATGCCCATTATCATGGGTGACAGGACCATGGACAAAGGTGAACTATTTAATTTCTATCTCCTAACTGTTTCTGTTTTGTTTTTCTACCACTGTTTATCAGTAACATTATTTTAACTAGAATTATTTCTTAGACAACATTGTCGTTAATATATCTATATTTTTACTGTATTCATGGACAAAGGTAAACTATTTAATTTCTATCTCCTAACTATTTCTGTTTTGTTTTTCTACCACTGTTTATCAGTAACATTATTTTAACTAGAATTATTTCTTAGACAACATTGTCGTTAATATATCTATATTTTTACTGTATTTAGAGATTATAAGAAACAATCACAC